CTGCCGCCGCCCGGCGCAGGTCGTCCATGATTTCGAAGTGCGCTTATCCACCTGTTCCGGTATGTATTTCGTTGGCACGCTGGTGGATGAAGGGGCGTGTATATTGCCTCGACTCTCTCGTGAGCCCGAAGAATATGAACATGCAATAGTTGCGGGCGCACTGACAAAAAATTGCGCAGCCGTACGCACAAGAGTTTGGGCATATTCGGTCGCGTCATGTACTGTCGTTGCGCGGTGGCTCGAAACGTCGTATTCTCGCCGTCAAGTGGATCTCCGGTCAAAATTGCGCACTCCCGAATACATCGACCCGAATACAACGGACTAAGCATGTAACAACCAGGTGCCGATGGATGCGCTACACTGCCGTTCTTTGGTGTCTACTACTGCTGTACGCAGTGCAAAAGGTTGCGAAAGATGCAACACCGCATGGAGCGCGATTTTCGTTTTTTGTATTACTCCACGTCGAAGATGCATACATTAAAGCAAAACGTTTTCGGAGATCTCTCGACGAGACAGCTTCAACGCGGCCGTTTGCTGCGCCGTCCCGCTCCATGACGTGGAGAAATCTCTCGGGGACAACCGGTTCAAGGGGTGTGGTATCTTAAGTCACCTACTGTACTACATGCTGTTGCCTCTTGCATCGACTTTGCAACGTCCACATCATGCCTCCAATTATTGCCATACGGCAAAGAATGTACGAGCAAGATTTATTTATTTATTTTTGCCTTCCGACAATTGCAGATGTACCTCAGANCAAATCTCTCGGGGACAACCGATTCAAGGGGTGTGGTATCTTAAGTCACCTACTGTACTACATGCTGTTGCCTCTTGCATCGACTTTGCAACGTCCACATCATGCCTCCAATTATTGCCATACGGCAAAGAATGTAAGAGCAAGATTCTTTTTGGGCCGTCTCCCACGCTCCNCTGCCGTTCTTTGGTGTCTACTACTGCTGTACGCAGTGCAAAAGGTTGCGAAATTTGCAACACCGCATGGAGCGCGATTTTCGTTTTTTTTATTACTCCACGTCGAAGAAGATGCATACATTAAAGCAAAACGTTTTCGGAGATCTCTCGACGAGACAGCTTCAACGCGGCCGTTTGCTGCGCCGTCCCGCTCCATGACGTGGAGAAATCTCTCGGGGACAACCGGTTCAAGGGGTGTGGTATCTTAAGTCACCTACTGTACTACATGCTGTTGCCTCTTGCATCGACTTTGCAACGTCCACATCATGCCTCCAATTATTGCCATACGGCAAAGAATGTAAGAGCAAGATTCTTTTTGGGCCGTCTCCCACGCTCCTGAGGGACGTCGGCGATACAGAAACCAGCCGGAACCAGTAGGACATGACATGTGTCAACCGGCCGCGTGAATGCGGGCCCACCGAATTCGAACAAGAATTAGCCACTTTTGTCACGATTCCGAAGCGAGTTGATGACCGTTTGACGGGAAACTTTGCGACATCCGAGGAAATGTAGTTGACTACGAAGGGTCGGCAACCGTTGCGTACGGTAACGCTTAGTTGCCGAGAGCGACGGCGAAGGGCCCTAGCACCTCGCTGCTGTTGGTTTAGACCAAGTCTGGATAGGCTGTAACATTTTTCAGTTATTCTCCACGCACCTGCTGCCGATTGAGCCCGTTCCTTCCGCACCACGTAGCCAGGTGTATGTAGCCACGTCCTTGCACCCTAGCGAGGAGCAGCACTCTCCTGGTGGGCTCCACTGCCTGCGTTTGCGGGGTGGCGTGGTGTCATGCCCAGGGGTTTCATATGTGTATGCGAAGCATGTTTTTTGGCGCGAAAACCCGGCGCGCATAGCGGACAGATTTTATATAGGAAATTTGGGAGTGATCTGCCTATGGTTATTATGTTATAGTCTTTGCTGGACACATCGTTCATTGTCACACACTCACTACCCATTGCTGAGCGCTTGGCGTGAGTTGTCAGTGCATAGCATCCTCAGCAAGTGCCTTGGTCTACTGCTGTAAGCCCCACAGCGTATTTTTCTGTGTTGCAAGTACTCTCTACAGGACTTTGCTCTCCTTTGGTGTGTAGCCGCGACGATCTCCGTTTCTCTGCACTCTTTTCCGGACATCACTTCTACGAAAGACACCTGAATGCGCGCAGCAGCAGCGAGCATGGATGGGCAGCAAGAGGGAGACCATCACCAGGCGGTGAGGCCTGCTTGAGCTTGCTGTATTATCTGTGCTCGGGATTGGGTTGGACTGTTTTGGAGCCATTTACCATAACAGCAAAGCTGGCAATGCGTGTTCAACTCTAGAAGGGTACTGCCGAAAGAGGGCACAACCACTTTTCCCCTGTCGTGGTTGCCTGTGTCGCGTCCTCCAGCCAATCTACTGGGCCGCACTTTGCCTACAGAGCCATCTATTATCCTGTGTTCTCGCCCCTCGCGGGATTCCGGTTAATGTCCCCCCCCTCCTCCGGTGATAGTTTGTTGTCCAATTCTCTGCAAATGTCGAAGTGGTGTGCGGAGTAGCATCAACTGCCGTCATGTCCATGCTTCTGTACAAACTCGGGGGTCATTTAATGCAACAGCAGCGCTCCGGTGTATGTACACCAGCACGTTTCACACGACATGGTTTTGCTCCGTGACGCAGCGGTAGAATTGTGTGTTGGCAGGCGAGACGACGTGTTCCTTGGATGGAAAGATATATATGTAAAGGACATATTTCAATGACCTAGCCAAAGGCTGCAGGGGAGGACCAGCTCTACATGTCCGATTTTTTTACTTTTTTCTTCTCTTCATGGTCTACGTGGGGTCACACAACAGCAAGTGGCAGAGTGGTTCAGTGCTATAAACCTCGCAACCTTCTGACACTGGACGTGGGTTCCAATATTGGCGAAGTCACGCGAACTGGGATTTTTCCTCCCAACATGACCCTAAAACTGCTGTGGAAAGCGAACTTTCGTGTGGACGCAAGAAATTGACGTCGACCTGGGAAAAGAACGGGTGAATCCTTTTCACCATGAGCAACCAAAGGGCACTCCAGAATGAAATCGGAGAATGCAATGCCTGTGTTGAGTTTCCCCCAGGTTGACCCCGACTGGCATGTCCAGAATCGTACCGAAGAATCTTCTATAGTGCGGGTTATCTAGTGTGGGTGCCCGCTATGGTTCGGGTGAAATCGCGTTGGCACAATCTGGACGCCACTATAGTGCGGGTGCCGCACTTTTCAGGGTACCCCCTCTTTAGTACGGGTTTGGTCCCTCTCCAGACCCTCTATAGTGTAGTGCGGGTTCTGACGTTTCTTCGTTTGTGTCGAATGTGTATCGGGTGTCGGTAGTACGTGTGTGGAAATGTGTGTCCATTTATTGCGTTCTTTTTTTTTTTCGTGCGTTCAACCCACCTAGCCCCAAGAAAAAACGGTGTTGGGTTGTGTAGTGACGTTTTGTGAAAGAAACTGAGACACAAGGTCTTTGCTTATGTCATCTTTGCTTTTGAAGTGTTGCCCCCTTTGCTTTTCCCATCTGTGGCTTACTCTCGAGTGTTTTTGGAAGTTGTCTTGCAAACAAACGTGTTCGTTGTTTGCGTGTGCGGATGGATGCGGACGTGTTCCGTTTGGCTGGTATATGTTATCCTCTCAAAAATTTTATTGTGTTAAAGGGAAATAAGCGCACCGTGGATTGGAGCATCAGCGCGGGCTGAGACACAACTAACTTTTCACTCAGCATACTCTGCGCTACATGTCATGGGTCCAGTGTTTGCTGTGATCTGTTCTACCATGGGCAGATATCATTTTTCCGCTGCGCAGTTTGTTCTATAGTCTCACCCACGAACGAACGCAGGCGTCCATCTATCCTAGAAATGTCACATCTCATTCTGTCCCCTCACTTGTTGCGCACACCACCGCTGTGCCACCTTCATTCTCTTGTTGTTTGCTGTGCCAACCCGTACAGTACTTTATCCTGGTGGCATCGCGAATAGTGCGCCTCCCGCACTGTGTACAGGGTTTTGAGGACCCTGAAAAGTGCGTCTTCCCCCACTATTCAGACGCGAAACCATATAGTGCGGGTGCCCACTATAGTGCGGGGTCATTTCGCTTGGCACATACCCGCACTATAGAGGGACCCCGATTGTACTGTAATGATGCAGCACATCACCTTGACTCCAGTCGTGAGTGGGTAGTCCCTCAGTGTCACCGTATGTATACTTTCGAAACATAAGATGGAGACCAGATGGAAGCGTCGTGAAACACACATCTTTTCCCGCCGCGCTCGTACCTCTACACCAGAATGTGCCCATCAAGATGTGCCCTTATCGCCCACTTCCCACCGTGTGGTTGCACGGCTGGCGCGTACGTGGCGCTTGCACGGCATCCCTGTTGCATCCCCCCACGCACACCGGTTACATTGCCGGGTCGATCCTACTAGTTGATGAAGCACGCTTAATGAAGCATTCACCACATCTCGCACACCCACCACAGCTCTTGCTGGGTGTGGTGCGACAGTTGTTCCCGACGGGTCGTATGACGGTACCCGACGCGATCCAACTTAGAGTCAGAATGCTTGCGTGAATTGTAACAGGCTTGCTCGATCATGAACCCGTCACCCGCAGGTTGCAGAGATCGTCGAAGACGACTTGCATGTGCAGGACGCACTCGCCGCTGATGTAGCTAAGGACGGAATGAGTGGGGCCGATACGGGCAGTATGCCCATCGCCGACGTGATGGTGGGTGACAATGTAAACGGGGCCCCGTGTACGTTGCCTGTTGTTCCCATTAGTACCATTCCAAGACCCGCAAGGTGCCACTGCCCGTGCGCAACGACACCGTTGACACGCTTCCGTTTGATGCGAAGGTCCTACTACACACGCCCCCTCGAGTGGTTCTACAAGGGACGAGTTCGTTGTGTCGTAGTCAACACTGTATCGACGACGGAGGATTCTCCGATTTCTAAATGGCGCTCTCTTCGAATTTGTAATCCTGCCCGTTTTTCGATTCCTTCGGCGGCGAAACTGCAGACGAATGTTGCACCCTTCGCGTTATACGTTTCGGGGCAGGTAGAACAGGGTACAGGATGGGTGCTTGAGGTTCGCTGTTCGACCAATCTTGACTTACATGTCTCGCGCTTGCACGAACACTGGTACTGAGGGCCAAGTCAGCCCACGCACCCCCTAGAGACCTTTCCTGGGGCTTTTTTTCGGGGGTCATCGACCCGCACTGCCGGACTCAACGATCCGACTGCAGAACACCAGTCGACTGGCCTCTTTTTACCTTGCTACTTTTTATTCGTCCTGCTGCCAAATGAAAGACTCTTGGGAGATCTCACTGATGCGTGCGTCCTCTCACATCCTTGCAGTAGTGCGTCCGAGCTCTGCCACAGGGAAGACAGCGACACGCGCACCTTGTGAAATGCATATTCCTTTTGCATGGTGTCAAAAACACGACAGCGCAGCCGCGTTCGGTCGCGCTCTGGTATCTTCTTTGCGCAAGTGACACAATGTATTTTTCGCATTTCCCCCCGCGATCTGTGCGCCACGCCGTTATGGCCGTCCCGCAGGTGTTGCTTCAGGCGATGAGAGAGGAACAGCTGGACTCTCTCAAGAGCATCGCCGACGGTGTGCAACAGGTGGGGTGGAAGTGTGTGTCGCCGACGGTGTATGCAACAGGTGTGGTGGAAGTGTGTGTCAGCTGTTTTTTGGGGCAATGCACCCCCTGATGATACACCTGAACAGGTGTGGTGGAAGTGTGTGTTAGCTGTTTTTTGGGGCAATGCACCCCCTGATGATACACCTGAACCACAACCAATGGCACCATATGCCGGCATTTGCCCATGGAATTGTGTTGTACGCTAGCCAGTCTACACTTTTCAGCACGCTTTTATCCACTTTTGGCATGCTTTTCTGGAAGCGCCAGCCGGGGGCCACACGCAAGAAATACAAAGATGGTCGCTGTGGGTGTGTATCTGTCTTCCATTTTGATTTTTTTTTTTTCTTTGCCAGCTCCAATCTCAGGTTATGGTCCTCGGAGAATCTGCCCGCCATTCTGAGGGGAAGATGTCCCTGGCGCTTGATCGCCTAGGTCGCATCGAAATCAGGCTCGACTCCACTACGGTGGTGAGACTTGGCATGCTTTCCATTGTCTACGTTTTCCTCAGCAAACGAAAAGAGAGAAAATTAAGGAACGTAAGAGCGAATGGGAGAGGGAGAGAGATGGAGACTAAAACGAAATATATAATAGTGGAAATACGAGGCAAGTACCGGAGAAAGAGAGGAAGAGAGAGAGAGAGAGCGGGGGGAGAGGGGGGAGGGAGGGAGAGAGAGGGAGACGCAGCGGACTGACTGGGCTGCATCATGAATATACCGACTGTGACAAGAGATTCGCAACCTGCCATTTTTTTTGCAATCCTCGTTTTTTGTTTTTGCAGCTCGTGGTGGTGAGTTCACCTTCATGCTTGCATGGCCGCGCTGCCGCGATAGAGCGTTCAACATTCGCCCAGAATTAAATTTGGTACTCAAAGTGACATCTGCAGATGTTGTTGCCGGCTAACACAAGATAGCCGAGCTTTTCCACATGCGCTCCGAGCCGCACGGGGCTATTGTCTATATATTGCCTTTCGAGGTGCGGAACCATCGTACCCGACCATTTGCGATTCCCGTGCCCCGTCCTAGCTCGTCCGCGACAGCTTGCCTAGCTTGATTAGCTTCTCGCAGCGGGAGTTTATTTTTGTCGGTTTATTGTTTTCGTACGCATAGGTCCCGCTTTCGTCGTTGAGGAGTGGACTAACAACCGTTGTCATCTGGATGGAAGGAGTATGGAAACTGTTGGCATCCTCATTCACGTCGGTCCGCGCCCTCGTTTTGTTTTGGTTTGCGGAACGGTCGCCCACCCCCCCGCTCTCGCTGTCTTAGCCAATGAAATCTCAAATGACAGTCCCGCCGAAGTCGCAGCAGCAGCAGCAGCCGCAGCCGCAGTCTCGAACCTACGCAAACATCGGCGCTGGCATGGGAGGTCGGATGGGTGCTGACGGAAGGGCCAAAGCCATGAAAGCGCCTCAGCCTTCCTCAGCCTTTGGGAAGGCGGCACCGCCCCCTCCGCCGGCCACGGTAGAGGACGCCGGCCGTGTGCCAACGTAAGAGCTCAGCCGTTTTCTCTTGTCTGCGTTCGTACAGTGGTGCGTTTCGAGGTGTTCTTATCGCGGATGCCAGCTTCTGCCCCGTCTTGAGCTATAATATCATGGCGTAGACTACCGTGGGAACGCTCGTGTTTGGTTGTGGCCACACTGGTGGGCTCGGTTTTCCGAGAGAGGCGTTGTATATTTGGGATATCGCTTCCCTTGCTGCAGTACCGGCAGAATCGGGAGTCGCCCGCCGGATGAGTTTTTCGCCTGTCGGTACGGTGTTCCATGGGCGAGTTTTTCCCAGAATGCATCTGTTCGAATTGATTCCACCCCGAAGTCATCTGTGCGCTGAGGGCTTGGATATCCTCATTTCTTGTTTATTATCCCAGGTGCTTTCTTTTGTGTCTATTGGCTGGTGGTTGGAGGGAGGTGGTTAGCCAGGGCTTCCGTTGTCCCCGTCGAGCATGATTGGAGCGTTCGCATGACTCGCGTGACACGTCCATTTCTTGTCATCAACCGCCAACCTATCTCGGTCTTGGTTTTCTCTCGGCTATTTTCGTTTTTTACCAATCTCACGATGGCTTGGTAGAAATGTCGCGGTCGGTCTTGACGACTCACAGCAACCACCCTTTTGCATGAACACACCCGTTCTCAGGTGGCAAGGGAGAGCGGAGCCGGAACCCGCATGGCCTCACTTTATGCGCAACGCCTCCCCGCAGCAGGTTGACCCACAACCGATTGTGTGCTGGACGTGCGAAGGATTCTTCAGAGTGATGTTGTGTACGGGACGTTTGTGCGATAGGCTTGAACGGAGCTGGTTGTCTTTGGTGCGGCATGTAAGGTCGCAGACGCGCTTGTTCTCCGCAACCTCGGAGGCTAGAACGTTGACAAGTTGCTGGGTCGAACCGCAGTCTTTGTGCCTCCATCAACTGCGGGGTGTAAATAACAAACGCATGGCACTTCCCTTGTTGTCTCGAAGAGTGAAACGCAGCGCGATCAGTCCCTGCCCATAGCGTCCCCCGCCTCCGACCACTTGCCCCGCGCCGCCCGCCTGTCGGTCCCTCGTTTTGATACCCCTCCTCGGTAGAAGTCACGCGCTCCTTCAGCGAAAAGCGCGCCAGCCACAGCAGCAGCGACAGTCGTGCCTGTCGGTGGTGCAGCTGCTGTATCTGCCGTAACGCCCGGCGAGGCGAGCGGAGGCGGGAAGGGCGAAGGTGTTTCCCAGGAGGAGGCGGCGAAAAAGGAGGCCAAACGCCTGGCTTTCATGGAAGACCGCGCCCGCATCCAGGTACAGTGGGGTTCCCTGTTTAGACGGTACATATGTTCCCGGAGAATTCATCGGCACTATACCGAACACCAGAACTGTTGTTCTGTCTGTGCCCCCCAGCACACCGGCACTATGCCGGGCACCGGCATTTCACTGTCTCCCCTACTCAGTAGTTGTATCGTGTGCGTCGAGACATCGAACCGGGAAGAGAGGTCGGAGATCAGGCCTCGGGGTGCTCCATCCCCATGCTTGGCTTCCGCCCACAGCGAGATGGCCGAAAGGTGTTGTTGACGATGTATGGCGACAGCAGTCCCGGTGACCACACTTCGAGTGAGCTTGTTTGCATGGATGCCTTGGCGAGACTTGGATGTATCTCGGTTGAAGCCACCGCGCCCCGTGGAGTGCTTGAATTCAGATGTGACCCAATTGCCGCCCATTGTCAACAATGTTGAGGCGGCTATAGCCCCTGCTGGCACAAACGACGCAGAACATTTTCTTCAACACCTTGTTGAACTCATACATTGCTACCTGGTGTGCAGCGACAGGGGCCTTGCGAGAGGCGGAATGTAATGGCAGCTCAACGTACAGGGACCAAAAGCAGGAAGCCGCTCTTGAAAATCAGGCTGGACATCAACAGATCACGATACCAACAACGTACCGCTGTCATGTCCGCATTGAGACAGCGTTCAAACTATGGTCTATGCGAGCCACTCGGTTTCACAAACACATGTTGCACCGCTGCATGCGTTGTTGTCCCGAGGGTTGTCACAATTGCTACCACTTTTGACTCCTTGATTAGAAAAGACGAAGATACATGGAACAACGCCCCAACGACACCTGGATTGGATTACCCAAGCGAGCAACTAAAAAGACGTCAACCACAACAAAACTCCATCTCCGACGAAGCCGGCCCCTCCTCCGCCCCCTCCCCCCCCCCCCCCCCCCCCCCCCCCCCCCCCCCCCCCCCCCCGCGCGCGCGCGCCGCAATATTGTGAAAACCTACGGATATAGGCACGAATCGCAGCCTCGAAGGGTGGTAGAGCAGCACCCGCTTCCTCCCCCAAACCGACCCCGACAACCACCCACCAATCCGCACCAGCCGCCCAGGACATACAGGCGCAAAAACCCGAACCTTTCGAAACACCTTCGGCAGCGTCTGCTGGAGAGGGGGGATCGTTCTCTGGCAGTCCCTCGTTCCTGGACAGTGTCGGCGGGGATGTTGGGGCAGGAGCAGGAGGAGGGAGAGCGGATGACGAAGCCGAGGCGTGGCTGGAGAGGGAGCGGGAGCAGAGGGGCAAGAGGGAAAGGGAGCGGCGCGAAGAGAAAGAACGGTAGGACGGGGCCTCTCTTTCATGGCTCACCATTTTCTTGTGCTGAGAGATCTAATCGTGTTTACAATAGATGCGACAAAAGCCACTGTAGTTTTCCCTTCCGAATCCTTGCAGAGGTGCGAAGAGCAGTCAGATCCACCACATGATTGAGGTGGTGATCACATCCTCACGGGCATAGTACTTCCGCCGGATAGGCATTGTTCTCACAGCTCGCTGGTTCGTTACCCCTAGCACGCATAAGTGACACGCCGTAATGACTCCAGAGCGTGCGATATCCATGCTTGCCGTGAAGTCGAGGTTTGCTGCGAGTGGACAATTTTAGTACTGGAGCAGCCGCATGGCCCCTAGTTCGCACGTTATGGAGGTACGTTTTGATTTTGACAGTAAAGGAAAAGGGCTACATGGCTCCACTGATGGTTTGTGGTCAACTTCATGGGGGGGCTCCAGTGTTCAACGGGAAGTGTTTGACGTTGCTGACGGCGCTAGTATCCTTAATTTCGTGTGTTCTGTCCCTGGTGTTGTATTAGTCATGTGATCTTCCTCGCCTGCCGTAATGTGTCCTCTTATTGTGGTTTCGTGTATTTAAGGGTCGAGCGGCAGCTAGCGGAAGCCAAGAAGTTCAGGGAGGAAGAGGAAGCTCGGAAAGTGAGAGGGCTTGTGTTTCGTTCGATGGTTGATTTTTTAGAGGTTTTCATTTCGCGATGACTTGGCAAGCGTCACACGTTGGCGAAACGTAGCTTGGTCTGCTCCAGTCAGCCCCCTCGCCTCGAAACAACATGACGTGAAACTGTCAGAAGGATTTGTAATTTTGAATCCTGGGGTCTCATATGTCGAAAACTCAGCGCATTAGCGCCCCTATCTAATTCGATACTCCGGGTTATCCTTCACATTGAACTGTGGTTGCCATTTTGGTGCACATGCCACCGTCATGACGCACTCCGGACCTTGATCGTTCCTCGGAGCCGCAGGTGAATTCCAAGGCGACGCATGTAGCGATACGAGTTGCTCAGGAGGGTGTGCCGCTGTGCTATTGTTTGGTCTCGGATCTCCATGGTTGTTGCTATTCGCTTTATCCTGGCAGGTTAATGTTGAACCTCGTCACTTTGATGTTGATCTCGCCTGCCTTAATGTTTTGGATGATTCGCTTCTGTTGGATGATGCAACACACGCCATGGCACATGATGTTGACTCGTTTTTTTGTTGACCTTGATCAATGCACAGCTGCGGGAGGCAGAGGAAGCCAGGGCGCGCGAGAAGGCCCGTCGGGAGGCTGAGGCTAAACGGCAGGCCAAGACGAGAGTTCTTATGAGCTCGCTTTTCGACAAGGTGAGGACGAGAAGAGAGTCTCCTCGCACTCTGGCGCTCTGACTTGTTCATGTCATGGATCGCCACACAAGTCTCGCCACGCTGCAAGACTTTGTACCACATGCGGCATGCTGTTGTTGGGGTCTAAATATTGGACGTCTCCTCGTAGCCTGTAGCGTATGGCGCTTGAGTCGTGCAAAGTTTCTGTGGAGAAAGGCAGTTCCCCCTTCATTCGTGGTCAAGCAGGGTTTTACGACGCCCAGGATCCACGCCCCATCTCCCCAATTTCATGCGTTGTGTCCTTAACAAGAGTGATGAGGACGACAGCAATAGCCTGTTCGGCGGCCTTGGTGGCGCAGCCCTACCCGTTTTCCATGACGACGACAACAACGGTAGTAGGGCCCACGACACCAGCCTTGCCGAACAACTGGAGGAGAAACCGGAAGCGCCAGCCTCCTCCGTCAGCGAAGCAGATGCACCCCCGCTTCCGCCGGGTGAGTGAGTGGAAAGCCTGGAAGTGATCATGCCAAGCGTGTTGGTGCAAGCAACAACAGCTAGCACACTTCGTTGCTGCAGCAGAAGGCAGGAGTAGTGCGATCGGTGTTGGGGTGCAGCCCTCTCTGCTGTCTTGAATGAGTTTTTTTTGTTTTTGCTGTAGATGTGTTGGACGGTCGTCGCGGGGGGCTCAGGGTAATCAAGGACACCCACCGTACCTTCGTCGTACTCTAGACTTCCTTCGCTAGTGTCGGGATTTCTTGAACTGAGACTTGTGAAGTGCTGTAACTTCAGCACCACGGCCATCAAGATGCGAGAAGTAGAGCGTATTGGTCTTAGAACCGTCTTGGGAATATAATGTTTCAATCAACGGTCATGATGGCAACTTTGACTAGTATATGGTCTTCCCAGGATGGTTGTTTGACAGAGGACTTACGGCTTGCACGTTATGCGTTAAGTAGTGCCCGACCGCGCGTGACGGTAGACGTGACGGTAGATCGAGCAGAATTGCAGGAGCCGTTCCAACGGCCCAACGACAGTTGCATTTGAGCAAGACCCGCCACGCGTCTCTCTGAACGTCCTCCTTGGCTACTTGTTCCTCACCAGGTTTTGGAAGCGGCATCGGAGGAGGCGGGGGTAGTCTTTTCGCCGGCATGGAAGAACCTTCCACCGGTCGCGGGGGAATTTTTGAGGAGGTCAACATGTCAGGTGCCCCCGACGGAGATCCGCATTCCTCGCCGGTGGGAGGGCTGTCGTCTGCGAGACAAAGCAGCAGCAACGGCGTTGGAAGTGGGCTGTTTCCAGACGAAGAACCCACCCCGCCGGAGTCGAGACTTGGGGCTGGTGATGGTGGCTACGTGAATGTCGACGTTCAACCCGGCGGATACTCCGGCCTGTTTGACTCGTCACCTCCACTGGAGGGCTCGTCTTCGTCTTTGGCCAATAAAAAGGCCGGTGCCAATAGCCCGAAGGCGACGGTAACTACCCTGGAAGGATCGGCGACCGGCATCACCGGTGCCAGCTCAAATGCGACGGTTGCTGCAACCACAGACGGGGCAGCCGATGAGATGGACGACTTCTTTTCCAAGCTGGAAGCCGCTTCTGTGTCGGCTCCGAGCACTGGTGCTGCAACGACCACCGCCACACGCGGCTCTCTGTTTGAAAACGATGGTATCAGCGGTGCAGGCGATGAAGGCGACGACGATATATTTTCTTCTTCATACACAGGGGTGACCGGAGGAACGGGTGGCGACAGCACGCAAAGCAGAGGGAACAAAGGCGCGCTGTTTGATCCCAGTGATAGCCAAAGTGCGGGAACGAGCTTGTTCGATAGGATGGAGTTCTCCATTGATGCCGGAGACCCTGCTGGCGGGAACGTCTTCGGTGGCGGTGGTGTAAGTGGCGGCGGGAGAGGTATCGGGGATGCTAGCGCATCGTTCTTGTCTGCAATGGGAGACGTCGATTTGATGATGCCCAGCGGAGACGACGGTGTCGAAGGTGAAGTTGGAGGGGAAGCGGATAAGGAGGGAATGACAGAGGTGAGCTTGTGAGTTGATGTGCTTTCCACTACCGTGTTGGGCCGTTGACAAGGTGAATACTTTCATTGTGCATGGCCTGTATGAAGCGGTGCTTCTTGCCGCATGCAGCCATGGATAAATCATTTCGGCAATACGCTACCCGCTGAGTCTTTCCAGAGCACATCAGAGGGGCGACTGATAGTCTCGTGCCAAGGTTGTTGAGGGTGCCGTGAGGGCTTTGCCTAGAATGCTTCGGGCAGACGTGGTTTGATGCATGCTGTCGGACGCGGCGTTGCTTTGTGACCACCAGCTTCTGTGCCATAGCCGTAGTGGAAGTGCTTTCGATGTGCACAAGGAGTGGTGGTGAACTTCGTCCGCGACGAATGAGGTTCGGAAAGGCCGGGACGTGAGCGCATTTCGTCTCCATTTGCAATTTGATTGGAATCAGGATTGTCTGGGCCGCTGGCCGGAAAGTTGTCGTCGATGGATGAATTGTGACGCCGACATTAGTCATTGAGAGTCGTCTGCTTGACTGAGCAAACGATGGTAAGTCCTTTCGATATGGTGTCGGCGGGAGGAGAGGATTCCACCCGGTCACCACATTGCCCTATTTTCCTCCACTGTCATGGATGAGGGAACATATTTGTGGAAGAGCAAGGGACTTGGGGGGCGTAATGAAGCGTTAATAGTACAATCCACATCTTTCCACACGCGCCCTACTTCCTGCTCTTTGGAAACCAGCCTTTTCACGCGTGCACGAGGTACGCTGCTACTGGAGCAAGACTGGATGCGTTCGTCCCCTTGCTTGGTCATCGTTAGTCCGCGGGCCAATGGCACTGCTGTGGGACCGTCGTGAAATGCACACTTATGAACGGCGAACTCCCTGCCTGTTCGTTTGTTAAGCAAGACCCCAATGGGCAATAGCGAAGCCACGAGGATCAATTTGATTTCGTGGACTCGATGTACCGCCAACGAGGTGCTGCCAATGTCCGCCCACAGTCTCCGCCCGCCTAAGCGCTCATGGCACATTCATGTTCGCGTATCTGCATGGAATTGACTGCTCGAGAGCGTTGGGACGTCTTGCTCACATTCCCATCGCAAAGTCTCGCGGTTGACTTGTGTTGCGCTCAGAAGTCTTTCAAAAGATAGGATAGCTGTTGCTACGAGCGACAACTTATAGATGTAACTGTCGTCAGACGAGTGCGTCTACGGGCGGAAACAGAGTTCATTCAAACACCACAGACGTATCAATTACCTGCTGTGCTGGTGTGAGAGCTGTGGTAAGAGAACGCCTGTAGACTCCAAACTTCACCTAACGGTTCCCCCCCGCCGTCCACATCCCGCGTTCGTGGTCATACACACCCCCCGCATATGGATACTAGGGCTGAACCCCCTGTTCCCTTTTTTTTTGTTCGGTGTTTCTCCAATTGCCAGCGAAACAGCAGGACACAAGTCAGTTCTCATCACCTAGCACACCAATCGTCATGGCACCATTTGGAGCGTGTGCTCCATTGCGATATTTCTGGGCGTGACAGTTGTGTTAGGCACGAGTGCTGTGTGTGGGAAGACCTTCATGGCGGCGTGGAATTCAAAACGTTTTTTTTGGCCCGGGCAATCGGGCCGCATCGCCAGGCGAAAAGGCCACACCGGATTGCACATCGCCACGGTGCTCTTGCCACATACAGCACCCATGCCCAACACAACCATCACGCCCAGAGACACCGCAATGGAGCACACGCTCGAAGTGGTGCGATGGCGATCGGCGTCCTAGGTTTCGAGAACTAATGTGGTGCTGTGCTGACATTGCTGGCAGTTGCACGCGGCGGTAAAAAAGAAACATGCGCGACAGAGCAATACATAGCCCCATCCCACCACAGAGAGTCCAGCGGCATCGAGCCCAGATGCTGTCGCCCGCTGTGCGCGTGTGTCGCCTGTTATGCGTACGCTGTCTGCTGTGCGTGTGTTGTCTGCTGTGTGGTGTCGCCCACAGTGCGTGTGTTCTCTGCTGAAATCCGCTGTGTGCTTCGAAAAAAAAAAGTGCATCTATCTGCTGACCCCTGTAGTAGTCTAAAATCAAATCGCAACTCTAAAACCTAGATTAAGCGGACAAACTGTACAAACTCATTTTTCTGGATGGAGCCTGTATTGCGCTGTCTCCACAGGCAAGATTAGCAATCTCGCTTCGCTCGAATTAAAGATGGTACCAACTTGTACGATGCCACATGCTCTGTTCGCTCATTCTTTGCCGCTGGACAGTTTGCCCGCGAGAGCATCAGCGTGATCTTGAGCAATCTCCCCGCACAATCTAGCCACCGACTTAGTCATGGCGTTTGGGACAGCCTTGGCAAATGCAGCGCGAACCCCCGTTTCACTGCGAAACCTGTTACGGCAGTCCTCGAACACCCAGTGGCAGCAAACGGCAAACAGAGGAGGCGATCAGAACCTCCAGTATGTTTCTCATGCACGATGGTGGTCGACGGCGCTGGCAACGCAAGAGTAGTTACATGACGCATTTGCCTCTCTCACTATAATCGTCGGGCGTGAACTGTGGGCCAGACGCACGAGACAAATTGATCCGAACTACACCTCTCATCGTCGTCATGGATTGAAATCGACAGTTCGGGTGTTGCCACGTGCGATAGAAAATTGTAGGTGGGACCGTGTTCGACTAAACACTGAAAAACACCAAAATGTGTGCAGTCTGCTTTTACCGGGCGGAGGAGCTAGGAAGGAAAACCAAACACCACGAACGCGACCCTAAAGCAAAATCAAGTCGACGCTCCCGGATATGTGCCTCAGCACCAAACTAAAAGTAATGTGTGATGTGAGGAAACACTGGTTCCCTACCGTGTGACAAAGTCTCTCAGTTCCGGATTGGTGAAACCGCTGATCAGAATCACCGGCGAAGACGGTTCTGGCGAGGCATCCCTGGCCTCTTGTTTCTCCTGGGCGTTCACAGACCACGGCAGGGATTACGGGTGGAACGTAACGACTGCAGTAGTGATTCTGGATTTACTGAGTAGTCACGGAGACTCGAAAAGATACGGATCTGCCTGAAACGGATATCGTTTTTGGTGACCACGATGACACCTTCCAGCATGGCTTCGCGGGTACATATGCCATCCGCAATCGCCAAACTGTTGTCGACTTTTCAGGACACACTTCCTTGGCGGTGAGCATGAGGAAACATGAGCATCATATGCACATGCATACCGGACTACTGGTCTGGAAGACACATGCGGCAGAGGCCTGTCTCCTGCCGGGTGGCGATTCGTCCAGTCTGCACGAAGAAGTGCAACAAATTGAGTGCTGCTGTACAAACAAAAATCCGGATTAGACACTTTTTTGTCGCTACCTGAAGCAGACCGATCATCGGCGCATCGGTCAGGACGTCTCCCACCCTCTTCTCCGCTATTTCCAAGGTATGCGCCACAAAAGGTGTTCTGTCCTCCCGGTCTTGATCCTCGTCGTCAAGAATCGAGCGTATTGCCCCGCGCTCCTCCAGGGAGAGGCCACTTGCGAGAATACACCTGAATACCCGAGAGCAGGCGAAGACAAAACTTCACTGCTCGGATTCCACGGAATCTCCACAGATGAGTTGTGGTTGCTCCTGCTCTACACGCGGTCCTTCTGGGAGTTTCGTAGGGCCTGAGTTACCCCTAGGGTGGTTGGCCAACGGTATTGGCCAGCCACAGCAATGGATGCACAGCGGTCAGAGTGTGCGAGTCAGATAGGACTCTCTACGTTTTTGGTCAAATGCACTTTAGTACGCACCCAAAATTGCTGACCTTCACGTCAGCGAGGAGACCTGTGTATTGTAGAAGGTTGGCGATATTACGAGGGTTTCGAAAGCCGGCAGAAGTCCATCCATCCCCTCGCTCCCAAGATCTTGCGGTATACGGAACATGATGCTCCATATCAAGGTGCTGTATTTTCGTAAATTTAGTCCTCACACCCTACGTACGGTGTGATAGTTGTCCCACAGAACCGCTGAAAGAACATCTTCATAGGCTGCCTCGGTGCAAGGCCGTAAGTGCTTGTATTCAAGATGCGACCCCGCCTGTTCTGCTGAGCAAATCACACGTCAAACAAAGGTTACGAACACCCTTGCATGCAACCAACCGCGGACGGCTGGAACTTCAAGCCAAAAATCTGAATGTTGAGGTTGTATCTACCATTTGAATACATTGCTGTGAACTCACGACGTCGTCACGCCGACTTCCCCGGTCTATAGCTTCACCTTGGCCCGAAGCTCTGCGCATCCTCTGTCCCTCCCATCTTTACGAATTTCCCTCTGCCTGGCGGTGGGCCAGACATCATCATCGTGATGCGCCCACCTCCTCCTTCACACGCGCCTGACCTCCGAAGGCAACCGCTGCTGTATGCCGCTGCTGTCTCATGATTACAAGCCCATCCCCGAGGAGAATCGAGAGAAGCGCTTAGCCTCGTTCCATCACGTAGTGCTGCAGGGGCGACAACGAACGCAGAGGTTGTGGTTGCCACCGCAGCAGCAGTAGCAGCAGCCGTGATGATTTGGCCAAGCCTGTGCATCATGTGTGTGTGGGTTGTCCCCACAACCTCCAACCTCCGGGTTTTCGGCAAGCGGGACGATACCACCTGCTTGTATTCGCAGAAAACAAGCCCTATCCTTGTACCACGCCCTGCTACGTATGGACAGCCGTCACTATTGCTCGACGCGATGGCGGTCTTGTATCCTGTACGTAAAACATGGGCTCAGCGGTGCTACAGACAGCAGTGTAGCCAATGAGGGACTTCATGCAGGACCGACGGCAAAACGGGACTGTCCGCAGTTTTTTCCGCATCCAAAAAGCTACTGCGTACTGCGCACAGAGTCATCGCCCGGTCAGAATATTGTAGCATCGATTTGTCTGCCACTGCTGGCACATCAGTCGGATCAGCAGATCAGGGTGGAAGCAGCATTAGCAGCTATACAGAGCAGCATGCACACAGCAGTAGCAAGATCTCAACAGGCAGGAGGGAGGCCTCCGACCAGACTACTCTGAGAAATAATCTCGTTAAACGTCACCCACCCGGGGTTGAACCAAAAACGAAGCGGTCGATGCAAAGTAACTAGTAGTCTACAACTGAAAGTGTTTTTGGTTTTACCCGTCAGATGATTCCGAGCGTCGGCATGGGCGCGACCCTGACAACACAACAAGCATGCTTTCGAACCCACAACATCACGAGAGAATAGACGGCCGCTCATTGCTGCAACAACGAAGGCGCAAATCCCTCGTTGGGAATAGTATTGGGAAAGGATGAGCATGGCGCCCCCAGGTGCGGAGGAGGCGGCGGAGGCGTAGGCATGCTGACGAGCTGTGACGACTGAAGACCAAGGTAATAAGGAGGTGCGGAACTGATCTTTGTCATCTACTGTAATACTGGTAACAAACAACCGTCCGCCTTGAGGTTCCGGAGAGAGTCCCATAGTAGTAGTCCCGGCGTGCTGTATCTTGAGTATGTATGTCCCCACTCTCACACACTAGAGTGTTATTCGAGCCAAGCGAGATTTGTAATCTTGCCTGACTGAAGAGGCAGCGCAAAATAGGCTCCATCCAGAAAAACGAGGTGCTTTATTAGGCCAGTTATTATGGAAGAATTCCAAAATTGGAATCCTCCGCCCTGGGGAAACAAATTCCTGCGCCGGAATCCCAATTTTGTATTCTCGTGCCACCCAAGTTATTGGGAAATTGGAATCCGGAGCGTGGGGGGGGTTGATTCACGATGCGCGGAGCGGTGCATGTGAATTCAAAAATGGGCGCGATTCTCTATCGCACTTCCAGACCATCCTTCCCTGCGGACGGGCGTGCGTGCATACCATCCGCATCGAAACACCGCGAGCATGGCCAACTTGCCCCCTGATCTGAGCGAGTGTGAGCCAATTGAATCATGGGGGGCCGATCAGCCACGAGAGGAGATAGTTTGGTCGTGGAATCGATTCGTTGCCATGGGACCAAGAGCAGGATGGTCGCATCAGCAACGCCGCCTGTTGCAAAACCCGGCCGCGTACTACGCCAACCAATCTGTGAGGGACAAACCTGACATGCATGCGTCTGAAATGCATGCGCATGCTGCAAACTACATGAGGACGTTTGCGGGTCCTGGGACTATATACTGTTGTTCCTCACCGAATCGTGCGGATTTAGCATGCCTGATGGTCTCGACGCAGCAGAGCTGGGGAAGGTCTCCATGAACGACGGTGAGTAGCTTTAGGTTAGGGAGCGTCGACACAACACATATCCCTCTACTGTTCAAATGTGTAGGACACCGCCTCGGTGCCTACATGTAGCAAGAGGACTACGTCGACTGCTGTAGTATGTTTTTTTTTTCGTGTTTTGCCACCGCCGCCGCGCTTTGTGGCGGCAACCGGCGACGGCGCCGGCGGCGCCGGCAACGGCGGCGTCCGCTATTTCACTGCTGTAGTTCTCGCGTGATGTGACGCCGTATGTGTGCCGGTAGCGTCAAGAAACAAACCTCCGCGCGGAGAAAAACTGGCATCAGATATGTACGCACGGGTAACGTGAAAATATTGCATACCGTTGTTGGTAACATGTAGTAATTAGACTTCTACCAGTATACTCGTATTATTTTTTTTTGTCGGCGACGGGTGGCGGTGGCGGTCTGGAAACCACCTGTTCGTACTGCTGTAGACGGCCACCTGAGATGGCGCCATTTGTGTGCCGGTAGCGCCAAGAAACAAACCTCCGGGGAGAAAACTGCCATCAGAATTATTTCCAACATGCTTTCTGAGACCTCCCTTTCTGTGTGTGTCGCCGCCGCCGCCGCCGCCGTCGCCGGCGCGAACGGTCTGGAAGCCACGTACGTACTACTGTAGATGGCCNATTAGTGTAGGGTAGGCACCGCACAAAAGAGGCAGCAGAGGTGGCAGGCAGCCATCAAAGGAAAAAACAAGTAACATGTAGTAATTATTCTACTACCAGTATACTCGTATTATTTTTTTTGTAGGCGACGGGTGGCGGTGGCGGTCTGGAAACCACCTGTTCGTACTGCTGTAGACGGCCACCTGAGATGACGCCATTTGTGTGCCGGTAGCGCCAAGAAACAAACCTCCGGGGAGAAAACTGCCATCAGAAACGGCATTATTTCCAACATGCTTTCTGAGACCTCCCTTTCTGTGTGTGTCGCCGCCGCCGCCGCCGCCGTCGCCGGCGCGAACGGTCTGGAAGCCACGTACGTACTGCTGTAGATGGCCACGTGAGGTGATGCCGTGCGTGTGCCGGTATCGTCGGAAAGCAAGCCTCCACGGGAAAACTGGCGTCAGATACGAAAAGTGTAGCATATGCGTTTCAATCCTCCCTCGTCCCTTGAATCCTTCTCCTCTCCTCACATCTGCCTCTCTCTCCCTCTTCGCCACCTGTGTCTCTCTGTCTTCCCGCTGTTTTCGTACGCAGCGCATCACAGCCTCTTTGATCCGCAGATGAACAAGTATTGGACGCGGGGTCAGGAGCAGCGGCGCGAGCTGAAGAACTACACAGTGCACTTCAACAGGTACGTTGAACATCGGAGGGTTTTGTTTGTTCTCGACCTGCTACTTTGGACGAAGAAGACAACGAGTGACGTCGGCGCACGCATCACTGTAGTTGAGGGTACACGTGCCTGATATTGGTACACGCGATACCGGTTCCTGGTTGAAATGCCAATTAAAGCCTTGGGCGACGTTGGTGGTGAAGTTCACAATCCGGGGGTAGGCTCGTATTGCGCAGGAGCCACAGTCGACATTGTGGCGTTTTTTTGGGATTTTTTTTATTTTTCCAACAATCGGGGAGGTGGTGTATTGCACGGACAGCACCGCGCGATGGTGCTATAGTTATGCTTGAAATGTTTTTCTTTTTGTCGGTTACCTAGGAATGGCGGCATACGTCCTGTTAAATCTTGGTCGGGGTTTTCGGCTGCATCCGTCTTTGTTCGCGAGGTAGGTTATGGTGGCACCTCCTCATTGTACGCAGCTCCCCCCTGTGTCCTCGTCGTCGGCTGTGTACACATGTGTACCTTGTGTACCTCGGACGTACCATCTGCGCGGATGGGAAGGTCGACCGGGAGATCACGAGCCGCATCTGCCGAGCATGGAAGTGCTACCGCCGGAACAGCACTTCGATGTACGACAGGAAACGGGCCAACCGCCAGCTCAAGATC